ACATTTCTGAAATTCGGTGGCACTCCTCATGCAGATCGGCGGGGTCAGGGTCCAAAAACACATTGGATCTGCCACGTCTTGAAAGTCGGTGGCACCCCTCACGCAGATCGGTGGGGTCAGGGTCGAAAAACACATGGGATCTGCAAGATTTCAATACTTCGTAAAAAAGATCGTTGCAGAACATACGCGAGCAAGCTCGAAATACAACATCAAATTCAACAGCATCATCGGAATCTCAATTTGTCTTGCCGATTACTCATCGTCTTCGCGTGAAGTCCCGACACTGCTTCACGGAGGCACCAAGGCCTCATGATTTCGCTCTTGCATTGCCCATTATCCGAGAGAGGGGGGGGCGGCAGGGGGCGAAGCCCTTACGGATAATAATAGTATCAGTATTACTATTGAAACTATGTGTTTTATTTGTATCAGTATCATTAGTACTATGCTTAGTCATCTTATTAGTAGTATTGTTCTTGTTATTCGCGTGATGATTTTATCAGTAGCATGATTACTGTTACTATTTTCGTAATATTCGTATTAGTAGTGGTCTTCTTGACATTACTATGACTATCAGAATTCTTCTTACTATTACCACTATTATAATACATATTACTCTCAGTACTATTATTATTATTACTATTCCTCCTCCTCCTCCTCCTCCTCCTCCTCCTCCATTTATCCCTTCTGCAAAACTCATCTTCCTCCTCCACCACCACCACCAGCATCATCATCATCATCATCATCATCATCGTCACCATCATCATCATCATCAGCAGCAGCAGCAGCATCGTCATCATCACTATCATCGTCATCATCATCATCATCATCATCATCATCATCATCATCATCATCATCATCGTCAGAATCATCATCATCATCTCATCGTCACCATCAGCATCATAATCATCATCATCAGCAGCATCATCATCAATATCATGATAGGCATCATCATCATCAACATCATGATTACCATCACCATCGCCATCATGAACGGAGCTCAGGTTCCCTTTAGACGTAAGGGTCATCATCAGCATCATCGTCATCCTCATCTTGATCCTCATCATCATCCTCATCCTCCTCATCATCATCAGCATCATGATCAACATTATCATCACCACCACCATCACCACAATCCTCATCAGCATCATCAGCATCATCACCGTCAGCATCATCATCATTATCATCGTCATGAGCATCAGCATCATCATCAGCAGCCGCGTCATCAATATCATTATCATCAGCATCATCACCATCAGCAGCATGCACGGAGCTCATGTTCCCTTTAGACGCGAGGATCATCTTCAGCATCATCGTCATCCTCATCCTGATCCTCATCATCATCATCATCAGCAGCATCATCATCGTCACCATCATCATCAACATCATCGTCATCCTCATCATCCGTATCAACATCAGCATCATCATCAGCATCATAATCATTATAATCAGCATCATCATCATCATCAGCAACATCATTATCATCGTCATAAGCATCATCATCATCATCATCATCATCATCATCATCATCATCATCATCATCATCATCATCCTCACCATCACCATCATGCACGAAGATCATGTTCCCTTTCGACGCGAGGATCATCATCAGCATCATCGTCATCCTTATCCTGATCCTCATCATCATCATCATCCTCATCATCATCAGCAGCATCATCATCGTCACCATCGTCATCATCATCGTCATCATCATACGCATCGTCATCATCATCATCATCATCAGCATCATCACAACCACCATCACCACCACCGACATCTTACAGAATCGGCATCATCATCATCAGCAGCATCAGCATCATCCTCGTAACCGTCATCATCATCAGCATCATCATCATCCTCATCATCATCGTCATCGTCATCGTCATCAGCATCAGCATCAGCATAATATTCATCAACATAGACATCATCATAATCAGTATCATCATCCTCATCATCGGCATTAGCATCATCATCATCATCAGCATCATCATCATCTTCAACATCATCATCAGCATCATCATTGGTAGCATCAGTATCATCATCACCAACACCCAACCACCCTCATCATCACCGCCAGCATTATCATCAGCACCATCATCATACATAATAACAATTACAAGAACACTCGTCCTCATCATCATCACCACCATCACCACCAGCATCATCATACAGAATCATCATCATCATCATCAGCATCAGCATCATCATCATCATCATCATCATCATCATCATCATCATCATCATCATCATCATCATCATCATCATCATCATCATCATCATCATCATCATCATCGTCAACTCCTTCTCCTCCTCCTCCTCCTCCTCGTCCCTCGTCCTCCGCCATCTCGTCCTCCTCCTCCTCATCCTCCAAGTCCTCAGAGTCTACGTAGGCTCCTCCTCGGAGTCCTCCTGCGCCCCCTCCTCCCTCCTCCTTCTCCTACTCCTCCTGCTCCTCCTCCTCCTCCCCCTCCTCGGAGTCCTCCTCCTGTTCCTCCTCCTTTCCCTGCTCCTCGTCCTCCTCATCATCACTCCTCTCCCTCCTCTCCCCCCTCCTCCTCCTCCCTCCCCTTCCTTATCCGTCCTCCATCCCCATCTCTTACAAACAACCCTTCCCTGTCACATCACCACACGTGTCGTCAGGGTGGGCCAGGCGACTCGCCTGAGACCCTCTCACCACTTCCGAGATTGAAGATGACAGTGTCCAACGGCTTCACGGATGGAGAGCGGGTGGCCATCAGGATGGCACACTGGCGCCGCACAGGCTCGTCCTCAAAACTTCGAGCCGTTACACGGATGGAGGGCGCTCCGTGCTCGAGGTGTGCATCTCGCCTGGGCGCCGCGCGCACTCATGCCCGCAGCCGTTCCTGCGAGGTCGACGGAAACACGGCTTTAGCGCCTGAGGAGCGCCCCCCACGTGGGCGGGGCGGGGCGCCGAGGGGCGTCGGCATCCGGGGGAGGGCCACGTGCCGAGCTGCTCAACTCGACGGCAGGTGCCCACCACTGGGACGCACAGAGACATGCCAGCACCACGTGTCCTCCCCGGGAGGCGCGCGTCGGACCCCGACATGCAGTGTACCCATCCTGTAGAATATCGTTTCCTGAGCGGTGTGGCCAGAACGCGCCGCACCTACTATGTAAGAATGCTCGGTGCGCGCGTCGCCCCTGGGGGGGGGGGCGACGCACATCTGGCAGAAGTATGCTGGAGTGACGCCGGACCATCGCCTCACGTGCTGGCCCAGGCAATCTCTGACCCTCCTGGGGGGCCCATGCTGTGCTGTCGAGGTCGTTCGCCCTCTTCGCGCTCGGCCGAGGCACTCGGCGGAGTCGAGCCGGAGGAGCTCGATGTGGGGGGGCGTCCTCCGCCCTGGCCCTCCCAGTGACGCTTTGGAGCCCCTCCCGGGATCTGGCTCTTGGCCGTGGATGGGTCATCCCAGAAATTATCCGACGGATTCATCAGCTCTTCTGTCCATGATAACGCGTGATGTTGGGAACGCGACGCGTACCTGTATCGCCGCAGCGCGTTCGTCACACACGGGTGCTGCGGTCACGCACTGGTGCTGCGGACATGAACTCCAGGGGCCTCCCTCCACACATGTCGAGTCCGAGTGGTAAAAGCACAACGCGCACTTGCCAGACCAAACCCACGCCTCTGCGATCACGGCAGCTACCCAGGTAGCGAACACACCGCCAGCGTCCTAAAAGAAGGACTTCTGAAGCTCGTTACCCGTAGAGGCCGTGAGAGGGAGGAGACAGTTCTAAGGAGAGGACGAGGAGGAGGAGGAGGAGGAGGCATGGAGGAGGAGGGAGGAGGAGGAGGCATAGAGGAGTCATAGAGGAGGAGGAGGAGGAGGAGGAGGAGGAGAGGAGGAGGAGGAGGAGGAGGGTGGAGGAGGCGTAGAGGCCTTGTCGGCCTTCGGGTCCAAGTCGAAGGAGGAGGATGAGGAGGAGGAGGAGGAGGAACGAACGAACGAAAGAACGAACGAACGAACGACGCGCGAAGCGTCCCATGGAGGGGACGGGCCTGCTAGCGGCCTGCGCGGGGCGACCGCGGCCGTCTCAGAGTTCCTTCGCGGTGCTGTACAGAGGCGCTGACAAAACCATCCTCCTGCAAACCGAAAGAGGAGGAGGAAAAGGAAGGGAGGAGGGAGGAGGAAAGGGGGGGGGGAGGAGGAGGAGAGGAGGAGGAGGAGGAGGAGGAGGAGGAGGAGGAGGAGGAGGAGGAGAGAGAGAGAGGATGAGGGAGGGGGAGGAGGAGGAGGAGGAGGAGGAAGGGAGGAGGAGGAGGAGAGGAGGAGGAGAGGAGAGAGAGGGTGGAGAGGAGGAGGAGAGGAGGGAGAGCGAGGAGGAGGAGAGGAAGAGGAGGAGGACGACGACGGCGACGAGGAGGAGGAGGAAGAGGAGGAAGAGGAGGAGGAGGACGACGAGGAGGAGGGATAAGGCACTGGCTGGGGGCGGCCGCGCAGTCGGTGCGCGCGAAGGCCGCCACCGCAGAACGGGGCAGGCGCGGGCGCCGCCCCACGCCTAGCAAGGAGGCTGTCCCCCCACCCACGGGATCGCGGGGGCCAGCCGCAGACGATATGGAAAAGGTGGCATCAGGCGAGGGAAAAGTGAGCGCCACAAGGGGGGGCACACAGTGCAGGTGCCCCTCTCTCGTGGGGCTAGCTCTAGCCACCTGCAGATAAAGCTGGAGCCAGAAGCCTCACCCACGAAACCCACGAACAGGGGAGGAGGAGGGAGGAGGAGGAGGAGGAGGAGGAGGAGGAGGAGGAGGAGGAGGAGGAGGAGGAGGAAGGGGAGGAGGAGGAGGAGGAGGAGGAGGAGGAGGAGGAGGAGGAGGAGGAGGAGGAGGAGAAGGACGACGACGACGCGGACTGGGGGGAAAGGGAGGACGCAGAGTGAGCGTAGGGAGAGGAGGGAGAAGGCAGAGCGTCACACGAAGGGAAGGAGGGAGCCGGAGAAGCAGCAGGGAGGAGGACGAGGCCCAGGGCCGAGGCGGGCGCCGGCCTCTCTCTGCAGCGGCAGGATCTTCTCCTTCTCGTTGAAGGCGGCCCGAATGACCTCCGCGCCACGGCCGCCGCCGCGGCCACCGGGCCGCCCTCCTCCTCGATCCTCCTCCTCCTCCGTCTCATCGTCCTCCTCCTCCTCCTCCCCTCCTCCCTCCTCCTCCTTCCCCTCCTCCTCCTCCTCCTCCTCCTCCTCCTCCTCCTCCTTCCTCCTCCTCCTCCTCCTCCTCCTCCTCCTCCTCGTTCTCCTCCTCCTCCTCCTCCACCTCCTCCTCCTCCTCAACGTTCCCGAGCGTTGGAGAAGATGTTAAGACTCCCTGCCCGCGACTCAGATTCGCAGGAGTTGAGGGCCCAGTGGAGCACAAAGCATGTCGAAATGCCGTTTGAACGATGGTCTTTCGTTATGTGCAGTTGTTCCGGCCTGGGCCCGAACAAAAGATCCGAAAACCGGCCGAGATTGACAGGCCGCAGGAAGCCCGAAATGCCTGGCGACGCGGCAACGGCACGAGAGCCGACCGAACCGGGCCGACCCCGCAGCCGACCGCGACGCAGCCGAGCAGACCGAGCCGCGAACACAATTGGCAATTGTTTTTCTGATGCGAATTCCGATTTGTCTGAGAGATACGAGCGCGTTTCTTTATTTCCGGCGATAATGGACATTATAGGTGAGGGGGGGGGGAGGTGCCAGGGGGGGTATAATGTAACGCCTCCCCCCCGCCGAGCGCACGGCGGCAGGGCCCGGAACGCACTGGGGGGGAGGGGCGTTACGTTATAGGGGGGGAGGGGGGGGGCCAGGGGGCTAAAATGCCCATTATGCCCCAAGCAAAAAAGAAACACGCTCTACGCACGGGGGCGCTGAATGATACAACACCGCTTTGAGGGCATCCTGGAACTGCAGTTTGAGACCCCCGTAGGCTTGCTGCCAGGGTTTTGAAATCGCATGGCGTACCGCAACATGTCTCGAAGTTGCGAGAGCGACCTTGGCAACAGAAAACATAAACTAAATCGACAAAACAAGCACGGAAGACAGCAAAGAAACAAGCAACAAAAACCAAAAAGAAACGCCGATCCTCACGGGCGACATGGGAGAGGGGCCGGAAGGAGGAGAAGGATGGAAAACGAGGGAAGGACGAGGACGAGATTTGTTGGGGCAAGTCGTGCGGCGTTTTGGAAATCGCTTGGGCTAGTCTTGGCACCACCTTCGGGTCATCCTGCAGGGTTGCTGGGTCGGCTGTAAGCTCAAATGCGCCCCTCCGAAGCTCTCAGGACTGCCTGAACGCCCTCTGCAGTTGGTGAATTAGCAGAGGCCATCATGGGCACTCCAGGACGGCAAGAAGAAGCCATACAAAAGACCTTGGCTTGTCTGTATGTGATTGTCCTGTGGAGCCTCTGCAAAAACTCTTGGGCTCTTCGGGGTGGGATACTCTTCGAACACGGCAAACTCCGCGATCGTCGTCTCCGGCGTCGCCAGACGCCGTCGTCGTCGCAGTCGCCGTCGTCGTCGCCGTCAGTCGTCCCACAAAACTCCACTTTAAAAGCCAACCCGAAAACACCTCCCAGGGTCCATTCTGCCCAGTCTCTCAAGCCGCGTCCAGCCGCGGCGACGAGAGCGCTCCAAAAGCGCCCCGAAAAGCCACCGAGCACACACACACACACCAAAACGCAAACGAAACGCAAACGTCGACGTCCACGTCGACCTCTACGTTTCGTCTGCGTCGGCGTGTCGTCTGTTTGTCGTCAGCGTTCGAGGAGCGGACGTCCACGTCGACGTCCGCGAACGCAGAGGAAACGCAAACGAAACGCAGACGGAACGCAGACGAGACACGGACGTCGTCGACGTCGGCGTCCACGTCGTCGCCGTGCACGTCGTCGCCGTCGTCGCCGCCGTCGTCGTCGCAGCCGCCGCCGCCGGCGTCGCCGTCGCCGGCGCGCGCAAGCGGCGCGCGCAGGCGGCGCGCGCGAGCGGCGCGCCCGGGCCTCCTGCCAGTGCGCGGGCGCCTGCTCCAGCTGGGCGAGGCGGTGGTCGTCGATGGCGACCTGGTGCCGCTTCAGGAGCTGGACCTCCCGAGGGCCGGCGGCCCAGCGCTGGCTGATTGCGGCTCTCGCCGAGGGGGGCGCCGATCCTCGGAGCGCGTGCCGGCGCCGGCGCGGATCGACCCTCTTGACCCTCTGGGGAGGGATCTAAGTCAGGAGGGCCAACAGCACTTTGGGGACGGGGGGTCTTTTCTGCAGATGCATCAGACCAAAACCGCCCAGGTGCATGTGTCCCAGATGCCAAGACGGGGACCTAAGTGAGGCCACGTCCTCATCGTGTTGTTAAGATTAGGGGTTCTTTTGTTCTCGATGAAGCGTGCGCCTGTCCACCGATGCCCTACCATGCGACGCGGGCGGCGTGATGAGGGCTGGCTCAAGCTATGTGCTACCAATGGAGCTGAGCGGGGTCGACACGCAGAAGGCTATTTTACACGCCCTGAGGATCATCGAGGGAAGCGCAGCTCATCCCTCCTCCCCCTTCCCTTCCCTTCCCCTTCCCCTTCCTCCTCGCTCCTCCTCCTCCTCCTCCTCCTCTCCCTCCTCCTCCTCTCCTCCTCCTCCTCCTCCTCCCCTCCTCCTCCTCATCCTCCGCCTCCTCCTCCTCCTCCTCCTCCTCCCCTCCTCCTCCTCCTCCTCCTCCTCCCCTCCTCCTCCTCCTCCCTCCTCCTCCTCCTCCTCCTCCTCCTCCTCCTCCTCCTCCTCCTCCTCCTCCTCCTCCTCCTCCTCCTCCTCCCCCCGAGAATGATGTTTTGGCACGTTTCAGGGTCTTCAAACGGCTGTCTTCCAACGTGGCGGATCCCCCAGTGGAGATGAGCCCGTGCAGGGGCCTATGAAGAGGGCGCCTGGAGGGCGGGCTTCTTCCAACATCGTCGATGAAGCATTCGTTTGCACTGGTCCTCCTCATCCTCCTCCTGCCCCTACTTCTCCTCCTCCTCCTCCTCATCATCCTCATCCCCCTCCCTCCTCCCCCTCCGCCTCCTCCTCCTCCTCCTCCTCCTCCTCCTCCTCCTCCTCCTCCTCCTCCCCCTCCTCCGCCTCCGCTGCCTCCGCCTCCGTCCCGTGTGGCATGTCGTCACTGCCCACCCTCGCCGCACACCCCGGAACCCACCCACGTCAGCACGGCCGAGGGCCGGGCGCGCGCGTCTGCCGCTCCCCGTGCTGCCGGGAGATCGACCCGCATCGAGGATGCATGCAGTCCGGGGAGGCCGGCAGGGTCGGGCTGGCACGCCTCTGGGAGGCCTACCAGATCTTCGATCGGTCGACGGTGACGTCGACGACGACGACGACGACGACGACGACGACGACAACGACGACGTCTGCCGCTCCGTGCTGACGGGAGGTCGGCCCGCGTCGAGGATGGATGCAGTACCAAATCTTCGATCGGTCGACGGTGTCGACGACGACGACGACGACGACGACGACGACGACGACAACGACGACGACGACGACAACGACGACGACGTCTGCCGCTCCGTGCGACTGGAGGTCGGCCCGCGTCAAGAATAGATGCATTCCGAGGTCAAGGTGGCCGGCAGGGTCGGGCTGGCACGCCTCTGGGAGGCCTACCAGATCTTCGATCGGTCGACGGTGACGACGACGATAACGACGACGACGATGACGACGACGTCGACGATGACGACGACGACGAAGACGTCTGCCGCTCCGTGCTGAAGAGAGGTCGGCTGGCACGCCTCTAGGAGGCCTACCAAATCTTCGATCGGTCGACGGTGTCGACGACGACGACGACGACGACAACGACGACGACGACGACGATGACGACGACGACGACGACGACGACAACGACGTCTGCCGCTCCGTGTTTCCCGGAGGTCGGCCCGCGTCGAGGATGGATGCAGTCCAAGGTGGCCAGCAGGGTCGGGCTTGCACGCCTCCAGGAGGCCTACCAAATCTTGATCGGTCGACTGTGACGACGACGACGACGACGACAACGACGACGACTGCCGCTCCGTGATGCTCGGAGGTCGGCCCACGTCGAGGGTGGTTGCAGTCCGAGGTGGCCGGCAGGGTCGGGCTGGCACGCCTCTAGGAGGCCTACCAGATCTTCAATCGATCGACGGTGACGACGACGACGACGACGACGACGACGACGACGACGACGACGACGACGACGGACGGACGGACGGACGGACGGACGGACGGACGGACGGACGGACGGACGGACGGACGGACGACGACGACGACGACGACGACGTCTGCCGCTACGTGCTTCCCGGAGGTCGGCCCGCGTCGAGGATGGATGCAGTCAAAGTTGGCTGGCAGTGTCGGGCTGGCACGCCTCTAGGAGGCCTACCAGATCTTCGATCGGTCGACGGTGACGCTGACGGTGACGACGACGACGACGACGACGACGACGACGACGACGACGACGACGACGACGACGACGGCGGCGGCGACGACGACGACGACTGCCGCTCCGTGCTGCCCAAAGGTCGGCCCGCGTCGAGGATGGATGCAGTCCGAGGTGGCAGGCAGGGTCGGGCTTGCACGCCTCTAGGAGGCCTACCAGATCTTCGATCGGTCGACGGTGACGACGACGACGACGACGACGACGACGACGACGACGACGACGACGGCCGCTCCGTGCTGACGGGATGTCGGCCCGCGTCGAGGATGGATCCAGTCAGAGGTGGCCGGCAGGGTCGGGCTGGCACGCCTTCAGGCCTACCAAATCTTCGATAGGTCGACGGTGACGACGACGACGACGACGACGACGACGACGACGACGACGACGACGACGACGACGACTGCCGCTCCGTGCTGCCCGGAGGTCGGCCCGCGTCGAGGATGGATGCAGTCCGAGGTGGCTGGCAGGGTCGGGTCGGCACGTCTCCAGGAGGCCCACCAAACCGTCGATCGGTCGACGGTGACGACGACGACGACGACGACGACGACGACGACGACGACGACGACTGCCACTCCGCGCTGCCAGGAGGTCGGCCCGCGTCGAGGGTGGATGCAGTCCGAGGTGGCTGACAGGGTCGGGCCGGCACGCCTTTAGAGGCCTACGGCGGGCTCGTGTCGTGTCGACCCCGGCGTTGTTTCCTGACACCGCGGAGATCGTTCAACCTTGAACGATCCGCGTTTTCCGAAACGTCGGATCGTTCAACTTCGACCGATTCCTGGTCGCCGGCGGCGTTCAACATTGAACGCCGGCGGCGGGGTCGCCGCGGGTCGGCACGACGCGAACCTACCGTACCAGATGGGGTCCGAGCAGATGGTGTTGGAGGATCGCGCCGCATCGCCGATGCATCGTCGATGCTTCGCCGATGCATTGGCGATGCACTGGCGACGTCGGCGATGCATCGGCGCCGTCGGCGTGGAGAAAGTCGGACTCCACACCGAGCCGCATCGCCGATGCATCGGCGATGCGGCGCGACCCTCCGATCCCATCTGCTCGGACCCCATCTGGGAGGCCTACATCATCGTCCTCCTCCTCCTTCTTGCGGGGCAGCGGCGTGGATCGAGCAACAAAAAAAAGCATGGAGATGAAAAGGTAGAAAGAACGACCAGGGGGCAGTCGATGCTGACTGCCCGCTTCAGCCTCTGGAGGGCCGACTGGGATGTGTCTCGTTGGCCCCCGCCTG